ATGTCAATAGTTATAAATTGCAAAGTAAAATGTGAACAACCCTGTAACGCCAATTCTATCATATTTGATACATGAAAACAAAACCTCTACATCATCAGTTTGATATTTTTCCCCCCCAGAAAACCTGATTTATACCTTCAGACACATGCAGTGCATGGATAATCCACCATGGATCAGTAATTCATGCACCCAAAATGCCTGATGTAGCAAAAATAATACAAATTTAAACTCGTATATGCAAATCAGCAACCTGCAGGTCTACGATCTTGGTGTTTCAGATCACAAGATCGTGTCACTAGAACTACCCTTTCCCTCCCCCCATATCAAAACAAAGAGACAGATTCATTTCAGAAACCTAAAAAACATCAACACAGAAGCCCTGACACTGGACCTTCAACTTCTCTCCTCCAGCTCTATTGATCTCTTCTCTGTTTCTGACTTAGTGGACTTCTACAATCAATCCCTAAACAGTCTCCTGGATCTCCATGCCCCCATAAAATCCAGGTCCGTCTCATTTTCGCGCACAGTACCTTGGTACACCTGCAAGCTACGAAAAATGAAGGCGGCTAGGCATATCCTAGGGCAAAAGCCTCTGGACTGACCTTTCACAAGCAGGCATACAGGGAACACAAGAGAGTGTATGCAGAAGCTCTGAGGAACACACGGTCCAGGTTCTCTTCTGTCATCATCAACAACAACCCCGGTAACTCCAGAAAACTTTTCTCAACAATAAACCACTTTCTCAAACCTCCCCCGCCCTGTCACAGTGAGGAGAGGTGCAACATGCACATGACTGTCTTCAGAGAAAAAATTAATAACATCCGTTTGCACCTCTCCACTTCTGTTTTTTGCCTCCCCTCCAATCGTCAACCCACCGCTCAAGACTATCCAGCCCCTCTGCTCTTTCTCCATCGTCACACAGGCAGAGGTGGAGGACATCATCAAAAACACAATAAAACCATCTTCTTGTGCCTTGGACCCTTTTCCTCCAGCACTGCTGAAGGCCAACATCTCTACCATCTCTCCACCAACATTATAAACCATTCCCTCCTGACCGAGCATATGCCATCTGCATTAAAAACTGCTGTCATCAGACCACTACTGAAAAAGCCCACTCTGGATCCAGAAGTCTTCTCCAACTACAGGTCCATCTCTAATCTTCCATTCCTAAGCAAGGTTTTGGAAAAAAACGTTGCAGCACAACAGGATCACCTCAAGCAAAATAATCTGAGAAATTTCAGTTTGGCTTCCGCCCTGGCCACAGCACGGACCTGCCTTGGTCAGGGTCACCAATGACCTCCTGATGGCAGCAGACACCGGCTCACCCTCACTACTCATCCTCCTGGACCTGACAGCTGATTCTGCTACCGTTGGCCACAATATCCTCCTTCACCGCCCGCGATACACCATTGGACTGTCAGACATCACACATAAGTGGTTCATGTCATACCTGACCGGCAGAACAGAGCATGTCATCCTGGGCAAAACAAAATCATGCACACACAACGTCACCTGCGATGTCCCTCAGGGCTCGGTCCTGGGCCCCACCCTCTTCTCTATTTATCTGCCCCCCCCGGGCAGTGTCATCAGCAAGCATGGAATAGTTTTCCATTGTTATGCTGATGACACTCAGCTCTATCTCAGAACATCCCCCCACTTCCTCTGCTCCCCTTCCAACATCCACACTGACCACCTGCCTGGAGGAGATAGAGGCGTGGATGAAACTCAACTTCCTACAACTAAACAGCTCTAAAACAGAAGCCACTCTAGTTGGCATACCACATCAGCTCCGTTCCTCCACCATCACCAGCATCACCTTCTCAGGCCAAATCATCGCCCTCTCCACATCTGTCACCAACCTGGGTGTTAAAATGGACCCTAAACTGTCCTTTGACACCCACATCAACCACCGCTGTAAAACATCATTCTATCACCTCAGGAGCATCGCCAAACTCTGCCCTATACTCACCTTGGCAGATGCAGAGAAGCTTGTCCACGCCTTTGTCTTCTCCTACTGCAATGCACTCCTCATCGGGATCTCTGGCAGGAGCATGCAGAGAACACAGTCCATCCAGAACAGAACTGCCATGATCCTGATGAGGGTACGCAAGCATGAGCACATCACCTCCATCCTGAAATCCCGTCACTGGCTTCCCATCTCACTCAGAATTGAGTTTAAGGTCTCTCTCCTCACCCACCGGTGCATTCATGGACATGCCCCCATTTACCTCCAGGAACTCCTCTCCCCCTCAGGCCTCCTCACGTACCCTCCATTCTACAAATTCAAACTTTCTCCAAGTCCCCAGAACCAAGCTCCATAGGTGATCGGACCTTTTCCTCTGCTGCCCCGAGGCTGTAGAACGCCCTCCTTGACCACCTGAGGGCTCCACAGTCGACAGAGGATTTTAAAAGACATCTTAAAACATATCTTTTTTTTAAAAAAAAGCATTTTGCTGAATTCTTTTATTAGGTTCTCCTCTTTTTTTGACTGTTTATAGATACATATATTATGTTTTTATAATCTGTTTTAGTAATCTTACTACTTTTGTTTTACCCTGCAGCACTTTGAGATTGTGAAAATATAAAGTGCAATATAAATAAAATTCATTATTATTTATTATAAATTCAAATTTATTTATGTATTTTTTTAATTTGTCAGAAGGTTCAATAAAAATTCTAGTTTCAAAAAATTAGAATTTTCTGGCAATTATTTCATGGTTAAGGCTTTACAGGGTTAATGCCTTATTTCTAAACTCATTAATGGTCCCTTAGATGTGGCATAATGGTTTCCTTTCCAACCTTAAAATCTATAGAACTAAAGGCAACAATACAAAATAGTTTTGGAAATGGTGTGTTGTATTAACAGCAGCCATAGCAACATGGTTCTAGGAACAAAGAGAGCAACAGTATATGTAATAAAACTGCACAATTCTACACTAACATAACACTGTGTGAACATTACTTTCCTGATGTTACATCTGTTGGAACAGGAGCCAGAGGAAGTTACAGTTCACAAGTGGAATATTTTGATGAATCTGAAAGAGAGGAGTTTAAGTTAAAAACTGTTTTCATAGTGAACAATGATGAATCAGTATATAATACAATAGAGCTCTATTAAAATAGTGTATTTATTGTGCATGTTTCTTTGTGGGCAATTACCGATGCTTTTTTATATATATAAGATTAGTGTCTAAGTAAATAAGGTTTGTAAATGGTTTAATGAAAACATGTTTATATACAGCAGTGTCTTTTTCTGTTGACCCTGTCATGTTTGTGTTTGTCTACCTGGCCGGGTAAGAGGCCCAGACATTTTTACTGGAATACCTATCAGCGGGAAGCGGACTTGTTAAATACTCTCCAGAGATGTGCTTTTTTTTACAGACATGTGGCATTATTTTGGGGGCGTTTAAACAGGAAAAATGAAGCAGCATAATTATGATAATAATTAAAGTTTCTCACATAATGCTGTTGGAACAAAACAAAAGCCAGACTACAGTGACAACACAGCCTCATCAGAGCTTGAGAAGGATATGATATGCAAAGCCATACAGAATCCACAACCAGAGTTTCATAAAGATTTGTTGCAGTCTTACAAGTCTCTGTCCATGGTGGAGGAATACTCTTGTAACTACGGGAAGTCAGAGAAACCACAGTTATGTAGCGAGCTGGGCTGCGGCCTCCATCTTGCAATGGATCCTCCCCCAGTCTGGAAGCTGTTGAATTTTTCTCCAGATGTGGCCGCCTGATCTCTTTAATGATACACTGGTGCGGGCCAGGAGAGAAACAGAAATGGGGGTTGAAAATAACACAAACATGAGTCCGTGAGAAGCAGGGCTGGAGAGTAAGCTTGTTCCTGTACTTTTTTTGGTCATTATCTAAAAATGAGACTCCCACATGAACTTAAGCAGGTTTTAATGATATTTTGAACTTGTGGTAAGACAAAGACTGTAGCATACAATTATGCAATTATTGCACAATCAAGAGAATGTCTCTGTTAAGCAGTTTTTCCTGTGAAGCTCTTTTCACTATAAGGTGATCTCTGAGAAACCTGAAGTGGAGAGTGACTGGTTAGTGAGAGATATTCATACTAAAAAGGACACAATCAGTTTTAAATGAGTAACTTGGGCATGTGTTTTTTTTCAGCAACATTTATGGAATTCTCTCACAGTAAAGCAGGAATTTTCTCGTTGGACATCTGGGACTTGCAGACTCATTTTTTTCCCTCCCTTTACATTCAGTTGCTTAAACAACAGGTGTCTTTGACTTGGTCATCCTCCAGAGAGAACAGGTTGCACAGCTGTCTGGCTCACACACACATATGTGTACACACAAGCAGGAAAGAGACTTAATGAAAGATGGCAAACAACTTTTTTTTTTTTTCTTTCTTTCTTTCTTTCTTTTTTTTTTTTTACCCGGGTGGACTCTGGGTTCTTGTTGGACAGCTCTGGCATTGAGGTGCCCCCGCTGTGTCTTTTGTATGTGCAAGTGGACCAAACAAAAGCTTATTGAGGAATCTCTGGGAAGCCCAAGCTGTTGGAAAGGAATGCCCCCTCTCTCGTGGCCCAGTCAGTCACTGGGGGGCCTCTCGCATAAGACTGACAGGAACTCACTCACTCTTGACCTCACTTACCTCAATAAAATCTATTAGCTGAACACAGAAGGGCAATAAGCTGGTCATGTTGCTGATGTGATGCAGATAAATCAAAGTAATTGCCCTTTGATTGTTCATACTGTCTGAGTTCTTATGTAATCTCATGGTCACTCAAAGGAAAGGCTGCATTTTTAGACAAAAAAAAAGTCGGAATTTGTTTTAAAAAGTTGCTCACATTTTATAATAAATTAGCTAATAGAAGCAGCGGCTGGAAGTTATTTTTGTCTAGAACAAATAATAGAAACATAAAGGGTGTGTGTTTTCCCCTATAAGAAGGCGGAGTTTTCTCCCTGGGGTCCTGAGCCAAACTGTGTTATGTAACGGATACGCTGTTTCTCATCCTGATGTGGACTTACTCCAGAGTTTACAGACTGACTAAGCTCTGTTCTAATGACATCCGTGATGATTTCAGCAGCGCGCCCTCAGACCTGGAGCGAAAAATTTGGAGGAAAACTGGCCTTCAGAGCTGATATTTAGCCAAAGAGCTGTCTTCCAATCGTAAACCTAATTGAAAACTGACCTTAAGCACTGCCAAGGATCAAGCCTTTGTTGGTTAATATTCAACTCTGGAAGCTGTTGCTGTGCCTGAGGGGGAATTTGGAAATGGGACTGTAGATTTTCAGAGCAGCCAGACGCACGAACATGGGCACCGGTACAAGTCGAGGGAAGAGAGTCGCACCTGCGTGTGTAAGCGAGGTGAACGTGACCAAAACGGGCTCCGGTGTCACTTCACCCAAAGAGGACAGCCGTCCATTCAAGCCGCTCAAAATCCATACAATTTTACGCAACGCGCGTAACCGTGCGCAACCGGACTGCCACAGCGAGGGACACGACTCGAACTTTTCTGGAGAGGAGGACGATGTTGATAGAGAACTGGACACGGTTCTGGCAGATTATGACGAGCGAGAGAGGGACTCTGTGAAGAGAACTCCCGCGAAGAAGACTTTCATCCGATCCAAAACATACGGACTGTGCCATTTTAGCCAGGAGGACGCAGAGGACGACTTCAGCTCTGCTCCACGACTCCGAGTGTCGGGAAGAGCCGAAGTGCCACGTGTCTCTCCCGGTGTGACAAGAGATGTAAACAAGAGAAGCAAATCTGCCTTCACACACCCTAAAAAACACACACCTGCGTGCCCCTCCCAGCACAATGTAAGGCTTCATATTTTCATATTTTTGGACTGATCGATTTCTCTGACTGTGGTTTTTAACTATGCCAAGCACTTTATTATATATAGAAAACAGCAGGATGATTTTGAAGTAACAATAAGTTTGAATTTTTGTTTAGTTTTGATCAGAAAACACATAATGTGTTTTTTTTCCCTGTCTGCTTAATGCCAGTCCTCACAGGGCTTTTTGACAGGAGGGCCTTTGTTGGAAGCTGGTCCCACATCAGAGCAACAATTGTAAGTAGACAACACTAATAAATAATTGATCTCTGAGCTCTGTGAGTAAAAAAAAAAAAAAAAAAAGGAGAACAGGCAGATCAAATTCACCTTAAAGGGATCGAAATACCAACCCCATTATTCTCAGTGCAGATCAGATTTGTCAGACGTCTGCAGGCAGAGCAGAAACAAACAAGTGTCTGTTGCTGCTGCTTTTGTTTAATGTGAGTGTGAAGAAATACAACTGAGGAAAAACATCAATATTCCCACTGCAGCCTTAAACAAAACGAAGTAAAAACAAATCTCATAGCAGTGGCCTTTAAATGTGGTTCTTTTGTGCATCTCCATTGGCATCCACTCAAAAGATGATGCATGTGGCAAGAAAAAAAAAAAAAAGCAAATTAAAACATGGTGTGTCAGATGGATTTTCTGTTTTTAATCAGCATCCTGTTAACGTGTTTCTCCTCCCTCCCCAGAACCTTTGGCAGCTGCCATAGCTCCTCTCTCACCATGCCAGTCATCCCGTACGATGGATCAGAAGAGGAGCTGATGGACACCATTGAGAGAGAGTTCAGCTGACCCCCAGCTGAGGATAATGCAGCAAAGCTTCTGTCTTCTTCATAGGCTAAAGTTAGTAGAGGACATTTTTTAAAAAAAAGAGAGAACCAGGGTTTCTTTTGACAAATTTCCTGCTACCAGGGAAGGATACGTGATCTGTATTTATGCAGGTTTGCCCGGATAAATTCAACCCTGTTAGTCTGAACAGCTTCACTCCTGGCCCTTTGCGTTTACCCAAGTTTTATTTACCAACATGAAGCAGTGTAATTGCAGAGTTATAGCACCGACTTGAACGGCTGCCAGGAGGTTCTGCTCACACTGACCAGGGCCTGTTAACTGAAAGAGGCCTTCTTGGTGTGTTATCTGCAGCAGCAGGGTGTCACTGTCATCCCATCAGTCCGGCTGGGCCCCCCGCTGAGCCTGCACTGTTACCTATTACTTACACTGCTCTAACTTGTCTGTTAATAGGTAAATGAGCAGCATTTTCAGGCTGATTAAGCTCAATAGTTTTGCAAATTTCAGCAGCAGAGGTATTCTTGGGGCCTTTTGGGCAAAGCTATATGTAAGATAAACACTTGTCCATCAGAAGTTTTGTGCGTGCAGTACAGAGGGCTGTAGTTTTTCATATATAGTAACCCTGCAAAGGTATGAGCAGGGAGTGTTTATTTAAGGTTTCCTTCCTGACCACAGTTCCTGTGCTTTTCCACCCTTTTGAGAGAGGAATGTGGCACCACAGAGACTTTCAGTTGGACCCAGCTGTATTTCTGCTGACACAATTCAGTTCCATTTAAACATAAAAGCCTGCTGCCACTTAGTGGTGGAACACAGTAGAACACAAACGTGAATGTTTAAGTGAAGACTGTACATGTCTACAAACTGTTTTTCATCAGTTTGACAAAAGACGTTTTTCAATCAGAAATGTAGGAGAGTTTCAAAAAAATGTTTTGTATTGCAAATAAAAATTATTCTAAGAGAAAATGCACACGTATTTAACTTTTGTCATCGCAGCATTGCTTAATTCACTCACCGGCTAATAATCCACGAGGCAAGAACGTTTCAATTCTTCTTTTAATTGTAAGTTGAGAGTTTCAGCAGGCTGACTGTACAAAATAAAATTTGTATTTGTAAAACAATAACATAAAACACCATAAAATATTTTGCACCATATATTTAAATAAAAACTCTATGCCTCATGTGAAGGAGACGTTCACATTTAAGGAAGTACAGTACTTTTGAAGAAAAAAAAACTTGTAGGTTATTGCATTCATGTTGGCATTGAACATGTTTTTTAGGTAACATTTTGTTTCTTTGAAGGCCTGTAGAAAGATATCCTCCTCTGCACTGCCTTCAGGAGTTTGGGAGGCAGGTGAGGAAGCTGATTTCTGAGCATCTCGGAGTTCCTCACGTTCTTTGCGATGTAATCCTGACAAATCCTGTCAGGAGCGGGAAAAAAGTCATTTCGCATTTCTATTTTGGGAGAAAAATACATATTTAAAGTAGCATGACCTACAAAGCAAAACACTTCTCAACAGCATTTGTTCTTGTCATAGCAGAAGTTATACAAGTAAAACTAATATCATTAATGAAAGCTGTTCCTTGTCACAAATGATACGTAGCAGCCGGTTAATTTGTGTTGTCTGACAAATCAGACTGTCTTCTGTGTACAATTATTGGTGTCTGTCTTCTGTGTTGTTAAAAAGAAAAGGAATTATGGTTTGGAGACTGATACAATATGGAGGGTTTTTACCGGAACAGAGGATACGGCTGCATCTGGAAGACAAGTGCATCGTTGCAGTGACCCTGAAAAGAGATGTGAAGGGTTTGTACAGGTCCACTTTCAGTCCATTTTAAGTCTTGAATAATTCACAAGACTACATGTTCACATTTTTTTTTCTACAAGCATCTGTTCTATGTATTTTTTTTCTTTTCTTTTTTTTTACACACGCTTCATCTGTCAACTGTAGCACACATGTATAAGACAGCAGCTTGTTACGTACAATAAAACACCATAAGAATTTAAAGAGTAACGTAGAAGCTACAGCTGTTTGGAGCACAGTTCAAATCTGAAAAAATAAATAAATAGAATAAAAATTATTTTATGCATAGGGGTTGTTCAAAAATAGGTTAATCCTGTGATCTCAGTTTCTATCACTTCACCTAGCTTCAGATGTGCCTGTATTAACATACATTTTTGACACTTCTACATTTTTTTCAGGATTTAGTTTGCCATGTGATGATGTACAAATGTTTGCAAAAAATAAAAATAAAAATAGAATAATGTCACATCCATTTTCCAGCCTCCACAGCGGCTCCTCTGTGACTTACAGTGTCGACAAGGAGGATGTAGTCACAACTTCCGCCAAACACAATCACATCAGAGTCTTTGCTTGGACATGCTGTGTGCCACAACCTTGGACAGGGAATAAGAAAGCTGTTCAGCATATATAGTCGCACTTCGTAGCTCCTGTACAGAGTAATAAATGTGAAATATTCATAAGTTTCTACCTTGGTTTATTCTTAAAGGGATGCTCGACTTCCCTCCATTTCTTTGTTTCGACATCAAGCAACCATCCATCGCCTAATTGATGAAAACATGTAATATTGAAAAGAAAACACTTTGAAGACGTGACACAAGGAACCAAAACATAAAAGTGAACACATTTTCTTACTCATTGGTTTGCAGTCTACACTGAGACCTCCAAACAGGAACAATGCATTGTCTGATACAGCGGTGAGCGTGTGCCATGATCTGCCCACTGGAGTGGTGGACACCGGGAGTCTGGAAGACATATTTAGTGGAACATTATTAAAGGCAAACTCAGCAATAACCTGACAACTTTACATGTATTATTTATTAGTGTGAGTGCATGTTTGGTCATACATATTGAACACCACATACTGGCTGAAATGGCACATTCTGTGTGTGGTTACATACATTTCTGACCACGTCCATGATTCAAAGTCTAAACAATGAATGTCACTTGTCCTGGTTTCCTGCATTTAAAAGGAAGAGAACAAGTAATGTATGGCTGTCTTTGATTAACATAACAGCACACAATAACAAAAGGACAGCACTGAAATCCATGCAGTACTCTCACCATGACTCTTCCTCCACAAACGTATCCTCGACAACCGAGCGTGGCGCTGGCGTGAGCTGCCCTCGGGGCAGGAGCTCGGCCCTGCAAACCAGAAATGTCACGGTGAAGCTTTGGAGTTCTTACTGTGTTCCACTGTCACGAAATGTCACCAATCTAAATGTGTATGTCGCCTTGATGTATAAATATATACACACAATATGTGTATAAATATAGTCTGACTTACTTGGGTTTGTGGTTCACTCCAACTGGATTGAATGGGGTCAAATATATGGACCTCATTGTTCCATCCCCAGAAGACATCCTCTACCTGAAGACAACAAAAGACTTCAAATAGAGGCAAAGAACATGACCTCTAAAATGTTTTTACACAAAAATCGTGTCACTAGATGCTGAAATTTCACCTTTTAAGACCAAACCTCACCAGGACGTGAACCGGCGACCTTCTAGCTGCGAGGCAACAGTGCTACCCACTGATCCACCTTGCAGCCCCCAGTAGCAGTCACGTATAAAACTTTTTATAAATAAATAAATATATATATAATGCTTGCTGGACAAGTACCCAATATAATCGATAAAATCCATAAAACACATTACCCATGATGTTTCATCTACAATGAAGCTTCTGTTCCTGCTATCAACACTGGTCAGTAGTTTGTGACCATATCCTCCAAAGTAGATCATCCTGGAGAACGGAAAAACAAAAACGATCACAACTGCTGTCATTCAAGTACAGATTGTGGATTTTTTTTTTATCGAGAGATGACTATTGCAAACAATAATCTTGTATTTCCATTTTACTGTATATTTATACATACACCCAAGAGCAGATGTGAAAACTAACAGTTATAAAAAACAAAAACAAAAACAAAACAAGAAAGGTGGTTTTTCTCTTTGCAGGTGGGTTTTTATCATAAAGTATGCTGAGAAGGTGAAAACCTAACAGCATGCCCTTTGGCTGTTTAATCATTGCTATTTCAAATGGTATCAGAAGGACAGCAAGAAAATGAAAAGATGAAGATTATGGTCTGCAGCTTACTAAGAAAGAGTAACAGCACAGTATATAATATGGAAACTAACTCGGTAAAGGTGAGGTTTGCACATCCAGGTGGGCACAGGTGCAGGACAGAAAGTTGCAACAGAAGAAAAGTACTTCTCAGTGCAGCATTTCAGCCCACATGGTCTTTACACAGAAAACAGCTTAAAGATTCCAGTGTGTGGACAGCACATAGACAATACATACAAATATCCGCCATAAATCCAGACATGAAAACAAGAGTTATTCAACTAGACATGAAAACCTCCTCAAATCTGCTTGGTGTCAACATTCAGCCAGGGATCATGAAACTGTAGTTCATAATGGCAAAACTAAAACTTGCCTGCAGTAAATTATTCACTAACAAAATACTGCAAAAGACATCAAATGAATCTTTTCACTGTTCTTACCTTCCATTATAAACCCAGCAGGACAATTTATCTCGAGGTGACGGAGCAGAGCCGAACTGATGTATGATCTTCTTCCACATATATTTGCTGTCTGTCAGGTCGACACAGTACATCTGTAGGAAGTTTAAACAGTGATCACCTCTTTATGCCAACTGTGTGCAGTCCACACTGTGACCTTTGAGTGTGTCCACACTGATCCACTGGCTCTATTCATGTATATTTACGAACTCTTTTTCAATAAATAACACTCATCAATGATAATGCATCTGCCTCTGACAGATTTAAAGGGTCCCTGTGAAGATTTCAACCACTAGTAGTACTACAGATAAATGTTTTTGTGACAAAGATTGCAAGCAACCAAATATGCATGTAAACAATGCAGGATTTTACATTTTTAAACACCATTTTTTACAATTGCAAATGTTTTTTGGGGGGTATAAGTCTATTAATTAATGTAAGGTCATTCAAAACATTTCAGATTTGTCAGCATGTGATGGTGGAAGTCACTTTTTACCATCAATGCTGGTACATTAACAAAAGGAACGAAGAAAAAGACAAACTAACAACATTTCTGCCTATTTGTGTCGTATCAATGTGTCCACAGTCTTACAAAAGATTACACTGGCAAAACTGCAATATACTGTTGAAATGAATGCGTCACAGGAACAAAAAACAGGAAGTTTATGTGAAGTAAACATTGATTTAAGTCAGTCTCACCTGATTGGTTTGTCCATTATCATCACAACCTCCAAATACGTACATGTGTCCGTCCAGGGAGCAGGAGCAGGTCCCAGACATGGAGGGAGGGACTTCTCCTGACATGTGAAACACTTTCCTTCAAAACAGGGAAAAAAAAGAGGAATACAGATAAACTGCTCACATTCACTCATGTCAAAACACATTTCATAACAACAAATGTGACAGCAGACAGCTCCAGGACAGTATTTGTCAATCCAAACAAAGCAGGGATGTCATATGACTCGATGACAATTGCCAGACGGCTGTCACAAGACAACACGCATCACTATTCATCGGTTTGACTTCTTACCATACACCTCCTTCTAGATCATAGGCCCAGATTTCATCATTGGGTAGGAAAACTTCATCATCAGCAATGGACTGTAGAGAGAACACTAAGTAAATACAATCTGTCATTGCAATGTTATTATACTGATGATAAAAAATACAATAAAATGACTATGTTCATTACAAAAAAAATGCAAGTAAATTTATCTTTCAAGGCCAGCATTTTTCTTTCTAGTCACACTTACATAGATAAATATACTTTTGGTCTCTATTATATGCAATTTTTTTATTTTTTTTTATTCTAATTACTTTAACTAAAGATAAGCCTTTGCATGACTCTCATGTTATTTGACGATTTGTTTGGATTCTCTTAAAAAAAAAACACACACAGAGGCGTATTCTGTACTGTCAAAATGTAAAATAAATAAATAAATACAAATTTTAAAAAGTACTTCTTTTGTTTTTCTCAAGCCAGTCAAAATGACTTAAATGTTATTTACAGACTAGCAGGTCCACTATCGTCTGTCATCCATTAAAAGAGTTGAAATAAAAACTGACTACATCTACATGGAGGGAAGCTATATATCGGTTTAGCCTGTTATATTGATGTTAGTGCATCACTACTGATGGAGTCAGGTTTAGCCATTTTATGTGTTAAGTGGATCAAATCAGAAAGTAAAATACTGTCAGAGTAAAAAGTGTAATACTGCCCTCTAAGATGCAACCAAATATTTAAGGTGGTACAAAATGGAAAATAGTCAAGTTCAAGCCTCACTATAATTTAAACACAGAACTGGAGTAAATGTGCTTATTTCCCTCCCTGTGTACGTCTTGAGACCTGAGCTCTTGTTTCATATGAACGTTTTATTCTCTTTACTATTTGATCTGAGAGAATAGCAAAGAGAATAAAAACTGAAAAATATAACGAACACAGAAATATATTTTTTAAAAATAAAACAAATATTTAAAAAATGCATATAAATAATAAAATAATAATAATAATGAAATAATAAAAATGTAATTAAAAGAAAAAAAAATTACTGTGGTAATATCATCCAAAATGTGATGTCCATGCATGTCTTTAACCCTCAGAGGATATTGAGGATATTTTTGTCCTTTCAGATGATTTTTTGCTCAGTTTTGCTTAAACTTTTGTTGTATTCATGATTTTTTTGTAGGAAGGTTTTTTTCGTGGAAAATCTTAAAATTCGAATTTCTCATTTTTTCCTAGGTTAACGATACACCGGGGCCAAATTTACTACCCTTTGAGGATATTAGAGGACAAAAATGTCCTCTCCCAAAAACTGCTATAAAACATAACAGATTAATTTTTTTCTACTTTTGTTGCTCAAAGCTTTCAATCAACTTCTGTCCTAATCAAAAATACCAAACATTCAAATGCTTTTATTTTTCTTTAACCCTTTAAATGCCCATCTGATTACATGATGTCACTGGTTTTAGGAAAAGAAAAACTGATAAAATGGGTTCTTTTCCAAGTAATAACTGTAGGAGGGCACACACACACACACACTCCTACAGAACATGCATACAAAACATGCAGAGACGTACAATGGAAAAACTGTCCCATCTTATGGTAAACAGAAAAAATATATTTTTAAAATTAGAGTTTGCATGATTATATTGTGTAATGACTGGCCGTTTAAAAATTGTGGCAATAATGGGAGTCAATGGCACATTTTTGTCCTCTAGCATCCTAAAAGGGTAATAAATTAAGAATCTGCCACTACAAAATAATAATAATAATAACAATGCATCAAAATCAGTTCTATTACTGATTTTCTGTATATTTAGGCCTAATCTTTGGGGGGAAAAAATTCAGCCCTCCAATATTTATTTTATGGAAAATAACTAATTTTATGTGTATTTTTTTTTTCATAAAAGCTGTGACATCGTGATATCAAATTGGCATTTAAAGGGTTAAAATCATAGAAATATTTGAATGTTTGTTTTGTTTTTTGATGAGGACAGAAGTTGACTGAAAGCTTTGAGCAAAATTTTTTTTTTAAAAAGTAGAAAAAAAACATTGTTCTGTTGTTTTTATAGCAGTTTTTGGGTGAGAACATTTTAGTCCCCTCGTATCGTCAAAGGGCAGCAAAGTAACGCATCCCCTGAGGGTGAAGAGGTTGAAGGAGCTGGAAACCCGTTGAGCAGGATGTGTGCTGCTGTCCTGTCTGTCTCACCATGTAGCCTCCCCACACATACAGCAGGTCTCCCTCCACCACGGCCGTGTGTCCGCTCCGCTCCCGGGCCACCAGCTCCGAGCAGTGCCGTTCAAACACTGGATCCATGACGCTCTGCTATAAATAGACACAACAAGACGCGCCTTTGAACCTAAAATTATAAAAATGTGTCTAAAAAAAGTCCCTCACACCCTCAGCTGCGGTTCGACTTTCATGATAACACGAATAATACGCAGAAGCTATAAAACACACAAAACAAGCTTCCATGTTGTTGTCAACGGTTTGACATAAAACACACACAGCATGATGAGGTATTTATACATGCATATTATATACATATGTATATATACATGTACATATGTATACATGTATGTATTGTAAACGTTCCAGACGGATAAACTCTCGGTCAACCTGCAGCCACCATAAACAGACATTAAACACCACCGTGTCAATAGAAACATACTCACAGGTTAAAGGACACTTTTAGCTGTCGTGTATTTTTTTTGCATGTTTGGAAACCAAAACCGTTTTACGGAAAAACAGAAAAAGCTTCTCATCAGCTGTGTAAACTCGACTACACAATAAAATACTACTTCCGGCCATAGCCGTTTTTCAGAATAAAGTTAAGATGATAAATCTGCTTTGTTCTTTGTTTTTGTTTTTTAATGATGTAGCAACTTCTAAACTTTGCTCGTCATTTTAAAATTATGACACGTATTTAAAACTATTTTTTCTAACAAGAACAAATAAAAACTTCGTTGTAGGTCTTTTTATTTCAATATGACTTGACGGATGGACAAGGACTATTTTTTTAAGTCTGCTATTGTGAAATAAAACAGGATGGAATAATATTTCAATAATGAGCTCAGTTTTATATAAATCTTTTCTCTATACGAAAAAAAAATTCTCGAAAAAATGAAAATTTTTACAGGCTGTCAATTATTCAACTTACAATTTCAATTATTTCCTGATGTGGGTTCATAAAGTCAATACATTTAAAATGTCAAGTTTTGAAGTGGGTCAATCAACATGTCACAGAAACAATAGTTCTATACAAGAGTGCTCTTCTTATACATTTTCTAGATTTAAGGTGTTTCTTCCTCATTTAACATTTAGCCTCAGATAATGAAGTCTTTTTATTATTATCATTATTATTACCACAGTCAGTACAAAGACAACCTGTGAGGCTGTTTCCAGTACAGTGATATAAATTTGAAGTCTGTGGATATATAGACTAAATTAAATATTACTTTCATTTTAATTATTATGAAATAATTCAAATATTTAAACCATAACTTAATTTAACATGTGTTAAAGACACAACAAATTTCTACCACATCTGAGCTCTCAAACTACAAAAACAAGAGTCTCTGAGGAGTTTTAATTCTCTGACAGTGCATCCTGGGAAGTTTTCTTATTAGCTAGTTTTGGGTCTTATTAACTTAATATAATGTGTTTAGTAAACTCTCAGATGTTCATTCTTCAACTCTCAGGTTGTAAGAACTTGTGATTTTACGTTCCAACAAGAAGTTTTTTTTAGGTTAACTAGAAATGAGCAAAACTTATACTCGCCTTAAGCCACCTAGAAAAGATGAGTTGATTTGGTTCAATTCCTTAATGAAGTTTTTTTTTAATGTTTTTATTTAACTTTTCATTTACCAGGTAGGTTAATTGAGAACTGGTTCTCATTTTCAATAACGACCTGGTCAAGAGGCGGCATACAAACAAGATGAACAGGAAAATATAAAAAATATAAAGTGCATGCGACAGAGTTTCTAAACTAATTAATTTTTATCCATCCATCCATCCATCCATCCATCCATCCATCCATTATCTATACACCGCTTAATCCTCACTAGGATCGCAGGGGGGCTGGAGCCTATCCCAGCCGACTTAGGGTGAAGGCAGGGGACACCCTGGACAGGTCGCCAGTCTATCACAGGGCTACCATTTTTATCCAGTGGGAATAAAATCAATCATGAAGAACGCGTGTTTACCCATTACAGAGGAGTTTTATGCCTGAGCTCAAACTATATTATGCAATTGATAGAGTAATTTTTAATTCTGCTGTTGAGTTACACTGAGATTTCAACACAGCAGATGTGCCATCCATTGTTGTTTACATGTTGGAATCTAATCCACTTCAAGATGCCCGATTGTTTATATGCAGATGGAAACTGCAGCTGGCCTTTAGGGATGCAGCAATTTGCAGAAAAACAGGGTTTGTTTTCTCCAAAGAAAATAACAAAGATACATTCATTGTATTTATGCAGGATTTACTGATGGAATTTAATATTGTGTTGGAATTAATCAGCTGCACTCCATGCCCTTACATTTATCTGATTAATTTTTATTAGTACAACACTAACTTGAACAGATGCCAGAAATAGGTGCCAGACATGTGTAGTTAATACACAAACTGAGCCATGTGGATAATTTTGAGATTGAAGAAAACTTGTTTATTTATGATACGAGCTGAAAGGCATTGCCAAGTGGCTGGGGTAGTGCACAGAAACATCTGTGCCGAGTGTGTGTGTTAGAAATCCCCAAGTCCCGATGGGACACATCAGTGAATGTAGTTTATAACAGCAGAGCTAAGATCCTGTGGGACTTCAAGCTCCGCACTGACAAGCAGCTGCTGGCCAACCATCCTGATGTAATGCTGGTCGACAAGAAGCAGAAGAGGACAGTTGTGAGAGATGTGGCAGCTGACAGCAACATCAGGAAGAAGGAGCATGACAAGATCAAGAAGTATCACATATGTAAGCATGACTGCAGTAGATTTGGAAGGTGAAGTTGACAGCGGTCCAAGTGGTAAACAAAAGGTCATTATAGACCGTGAGCTCTCACAATAGCTCCAATAGATTCCATGTACAACATCTCAGGTCTTTGTCCAGAAGGATGTTCTAGGAGCAGCTAAGATACTGTGCAGAGGCCTGAATTCATAGGCCTCTGGTAAATGTTTAACAGTGTGGCAGGACAAGTTATTCTGCTAAAAAGAGGTCACTGCCTGAACAGAGTACTGCTGCCATGAAGGGATGTATGTGCTGTGCAACAGTGTTTAGGCAGGTGGTATGTGTCAAAGTAACATCCACATAAATGTGTGCATGTGTATACATATCACAAAAAAGTATATAGTATATAACAAAAACTGTAAACGTGAATAACGTTGCAGTAATAAACATCAGGCTGTGAGCTATGGAAAAAATATTTTGTAAAATGCAATGTAAAATAAATATTTACAATAAGTAAATGTTAGTAAGTTCAGTAGAAAATGGATTGACTTGCGTGAAATTCTAGTTAACGGTCTTGCATATTTTAAAAGTGGTTTGAGTTTTCACATCGTCGAATTATTCATTTATTTATTTATTTGATTCAGTTTGTTTTCGACAACTAGAAGAGCACGCGCTTCTACGGCGGAAGTGACGACACCTATGCGGAAGTTGATATTTAGCGCCAAAGCTTGAGCGCAGACAGACGAAGAAGTAGAAGCAGCAGTAACTATGGAGGTGGCTCGGAAAATAAAGACAAAAGTGTCCGCTGGCTTCAAGATGAGAGGACTCATACTGCGGCCGTGAGTATAAAATTCTATCGTCGCTGTTTTGCCAAAGTTGTTTTTTTTCTTTGCTAATGTCGGAAACTTTCTGTAAAACTGTAGCGTCTCTTCTGTCACTTTAAGGGCAGCAACAAGCTCACCGCCTTCTAAACTGTCTTTATTTAATACATTAATCACAAACTGTAAATGTCCTGCTGTTGTGTAGCTTTATTAAATGTTGTGTGTCCTGTTGAAGCCAAAAGATGATTGTCTGCCAAAAACAAATGACCCGGTTTAGATACATGATCAGCTCTGAGTCATAATGTGCTAATACACAACTTAATATCTGTGCTGATAACTAAAAGTGTGTGAAACTTGTGTAGCCGAATAAATTTGATCAAAGAAATGTTTACAGTTTATGGCGTAATCAGGCATGACAGTTGCTGATTATTATTGCCTATGGCTATAGAGAACACTCCAGTATTGTGAGTATTCTGTCTGATGTTTAGGCTGTATTTGTTTAGTATTTCTAATATCCTTGTTTATATTTGAAAACTACACTGTAATGAACACAATGTACAGATGGGTTTAATATGTACATTTAATATATGATGTCATTTGTAGTTATTCTGAGGCTGTAAACTTTATAAATTAACCCTCATACATGAAATCAACATTTCAGTCACAATGTAGGCGCTCATTCACTTTAGGACAAGTGGAAAACTGTATTGTAGGTAAACCAGCATAGTAAATGGCACAGTAGGATCTTAACCTTAATATATAAACATATATTTAAGCTTGTTTGGTAAATTTATTACAGCAATCTGACTTTACACTGTTGTTTTAAATATATAAATAACAGTGACTTGACTTGACTCGGCTGTGGTTTGTTCAGTTTGTACATTGAATGTTTCCTTTTCGCTTTGTCCTCCAGTGAAGCCTGCAAGTACCTTGTGGAGGTGTTGGAGTCCGTTAATCACTCTGAGCTTGATGATGTTATTGAGCGGGTCCTGGATGCAGTGGAAAAGCAGCCATGTAAGTACATTACAGTTGGTCTCTACAAGGAACTGTGTGTGTTCAGTACTCAGCCTGCTTCATGTGTTTTTGTGATTATCTGAAGTGTTTCCAGGTTGTTATTCTCGTGTGTTTTTCAACAGTGTCCTCTAGTATGATAGAGCTGTCTGTGGTGGAAAGTGCTGTGCAGGACTGCACTCAGTCTTGTGATGAAACCATGTGAGTAGAGCTGCAAGTTGCTGTATGTTTTATTACCTGCTGTGATATTCTACTTTGTTACACATAAAGTTGTATTTTGTGTTGTTCAATGTCTATTCTAACCATCAATAATTACACTGATAAAGGTTTTAGGGATAAATTGGCTTTCAGAATTAGAAATGTTGTGCTTTAGTCCATCCTCTTATGTCATATATAATAATAATAATATATATATATTCTATATGGACACAAGTTACTTAATGAAATATCCACTGGGCTTTTTTTTTTAGAAACAACAGCAAAAGTTAAGGCAGCACTAGAAGCTGGCACAGCAGTTTTAATTTACTGTCCTGACAGCAGCTGGAATATAAAGAGATCAGAGAATGTTTGGACGAGAAATCATTCAAATTGGAGGTGTTTGTGGGTTTTACATGGACCAAACTCAAATCTATGATATATTATAAAAATGAAATTATGACATAACACACTGCTTTTTAAAGTAAACTATAGTATTATCAATTTAATTGTGCTGTAGAGGAAAACTTATTTGTGTGATCTTTTACCAGAGATAATGTTTTCAACATCATTGGAGCCTTCGATGTGCCCAGATACATTTACAGTGTGGAGAAGAAGAAATTTGTACCGTAAGTAAATGACTGTTTCTCTTTGTGTCAAAAAAAGATCATTTTAATGTCACAGAAGTGCTGCTATTTGCCTCCTTGGTACCTACGCTTGCAGGCAAAGTTTTTAATAGTTTTTACTTTGGCTCTTTCATTCAGCATCAGTATGACCAGCCATCCAGCCCCCGGTCTGTGTGGTGTGGCCAAAG